TGCGCGTGCGCGCGCGTGTGTGTGTGTGTGTGTGTGTGTCAGTGTGGGAGTGTGTGTGTGCGTGTGTGGTGTGAGATGATACCAAAATGCCATACGCCCCAAAACTTACAAGCGTCTGATTTCACCTTATACAACACAATTTTTATGTATTGAACTGTGATCGCTAAGCTCAGATAGATAGAACCCCCCCCCCCCAAAAAAAAAAAAAAAAAAAAAAAAAAAAAAAAATACACACACAAAAAAACGAACTGAAAAAGAAACGCTTGACGAATGCAATTCCTCTGCACTGGATTCTGTGATCTAGAGCTTAGGCTGTTGGGCTTTCAGCCGAATGGTCTGAGTTCGAACCCTGTCACGGGCCCGACGTTGTGTTCTTGGGAAAGGCACTTTACACGAATTTTCATCTCTTCACCCAGGTGGGAAGCACACGTTTATATAGAGAAGATGGAAGATCTTGTCAGTGTGTTAGAGTTTGAATGCTTATTTTGATCCACCTATTCATCCATCCATCCATCCATCCATCCATCCATCCATCCATCCATCCATCCATCCATTCATCCATCCATCCATCCATCCATCCATCCATCCACCCATCCATCCATCTAATAAACGATTCATCCATCTGTCCACCTGCCTGTCAACCCATCTGTCAATCCATTCACCTGTCCAGGCATTCATATATATAATTATATCCATCTATATGATATATGATGTCCATCCATCCATCCATCTGTCTATGTTTGTTGGTGTTTCTCCCCCCTTCCCCCCACAATTTTTATGTATTGAACTGTGATCGCTAAGCTCAGATTCTTTTTGTCTGACAGGACTCTCAAATGGTGGGACCCTGCAGCAATGCTCCGAAGAAATGGCACAGGAAGCGGAAATAATTCTGTCTAACAGTGACATGTGCGCTCCCTTGGAAAACTTTCTCGTGTGCTGTTTACGAGTTTTATACGAAGAAGATCGGTTGACCCCAGGAGCCGTCCAGGCTGTGAAGGTACGAAGAAATTAGTCACATACTTTAAAAAAAATAGTAGAGGGTTTTACGGCGCTCGCAACTGCATAAGGTCAAATGAGCGCCATTAGCCACAGTTGAAGTCGAACCTGGTGGGCGGAAGGGCGGGGGGCTCGGCTCTCGTGGTCTAGAGGTCAATAGGTCCCGGTTTCGGATCCGGATATCGAAGGAAATTTTTCTCCTGTAAAATTGTCTCCTTTCAAATCCTTTCCTGCTCTCTAACAATGTTCTGCGCTCTGCTTTCGTCTCCACTTTCTGCCCCCTCCCCTTCATCTCCTTTGGCCCCCTCCTCTGGGCTCCTGACTCTTTCTGCAGCCTTTCTACTGGTACTCTTGGCTCCTTCTTCTTTTTGTCTTTCAGCCACGACCCTGATCTTATGGTTTATAGGATCGAACATCTAGCCTTCTCAGATACGGGCGAAAAAGCTCGGAGGTCCCGAGTGCAAGTTGCGCACGTTAAAGATCTCTTGGTGGTCCAGAATCGATAAGAGTAAGCTTCGGCCGCCACCTGGGCAAAATTCAAAATGTCCTACCAACAGAAAATGTTTAAACGTGTGCCGAGCGCTCATCTGACCTTATGCAGTTGCAAGCGCCTTAAAACACTTACCCCTTTAAAAACCCCAAACCCTCTCCCCCCAAACCCCCCCACAAAAACAAAAAAACCCACAACTAAACAAACCAACAACTTAAAAACAACCCAAACAAAAAAAACCTGTTGAACCTGCTCTAACGACCATTGTTAAATACAATCAACTGTAGAAACGACCACTTTTTAATCCCCCCCCCCCTCCCTTTTCCCTTGCTTTTTCTTCTAAATTAAAATGACTGTTCAAGGGTACTATTCTCTTCGACAATTCTTTGTTGTCTTTTACAGGTTAGGTTGTGCATCTGATTTCGGACAACTCTTACCTTAAAATTAGCCCTAATCCTTCTCTTTCACTCCTTTTCTCATCCTACTCCTTAGTGAGTTAAGATAAGATAAAATAATATAAGACAAAATAAGAAGATGAGATAAGATAAGATAAGAAAATACTTTATTGTCCAAGATGGAAACTTCTCTTGACCTCTTATGGCAATCCACGAATGGAGATGTTATCCCAAAATGGACTCGCTGAATTCGTAGATTCTGAAGTAACGCCATTTTCCTCAGTCTGAACTTGTTGTTTATCATTCATGTAATAATAGATTGTAACAATCATCATCATCCGGTGCCTTGCCGACTGGCGTGGGCGATCTTGAGCCTCCACTTCACTCTGTCTTGCGTTGCAGCAATGGTTCTTGCTGCTCCTAGCCATGTTGTCATCTTGTCCAGTATCTTTTCCCTCTTTCTGCCTCTGCCTCTCTTTCCATCAAACTTGCCTGTTGTTACAAGATTCTCCAATGCCTCTTTCTGCATTGTGTGTCCGAAGAAATTTGCCTGTCGCTTTTGTATTTATTCGTCATAAGCTGTCTTCTTCAATTTGCTTCAACCAAGATTTCTTCATTTGTTTTTCTAGCTGTCCATGGGATTGTAACAAACCAAACCCATAAAACCCTTGTATCTACCTTAGTCCACGGGGCTGAAATCCGAAAATTGACTCATTTCACCAGCACACCTCACAATAACTGTAAGACATAGGATATCAACAACTGCTGAAGACAGTACACACAATTAGTTCTCTGTTTAAATCGCTGGCACACCTCTCATTTCCCCACTTTACCCCCCCCCCTCCTTCCCCCTCTCCTTCAATCTGTTTTTTTTCTCTCTCTTTCTCTCTATCCTTCTCTCTCCTCTCTCCCTTCCTCTTCTCCCTTTCCCTTCTCCCGCCCCTCTCCTCTCCCCTCTTCCCTTCCTCTTTACACTCTCCTCTCTCTCCCCTCTTCCCTTCCTCTTTACACTCTCCTCTCTCTCCCCTCCTTGTCTTCCTTCCCCCATCTCCCCTCCCCTCTCTTCTTACTACTCCCTCCACCCTCTTCGCCCCAACACCTTTTACTCCTTTCACTCCCCCTCTTTCTCTCCCCCTTTCCTCCCCATCTCTTCTCACTACTCCCCTACCCCCTCTTCGACCCCACCCCTCTTCATTCGCCACCCTTTACTCCCTTCAATCCGCCTCTTTCTCTCCCCCTCTCCTCCCCCTCCCCCCTCCCATCTCCTTCCCTATCCACTCTCTTCCAGGAAAATATAGATGGAAGTCTTCTCTCACTCGGCATCAATTGTACCTTTGACATTGATCAACTGGTGAAGAACGTACGTAAGTAATGAACGCCTCGTGAGTCGTTTCACTTTATTTAAAGTGATAATAATAATAATAATAATAATAATAATAA